CAGACCCGCAGATGATGATCAATCCATTCCAGCTTGATCCAGCAACAGCTGCGGCTTTGGCACCAGGACTTGGTCAGTATCTCTTTGTCTTGTCTTGTTAGTTTGTCTCCTAGTAGTACCAGCCCTCCAGCTGAAGATGAAAACCTGTCATTTTGTTTTGCTCGTCATCTTGCATCAAGCTTTGCATGTAAAAGCTAAATCAGTCATACGCTAGGTAATAGTTGCGGGAGTGACAGGAGCATTGCAAGTTCAAGCAGAAAGTGGTAAAGGAACCCCACCTGCCCTGGCAGGCGCTGCTTCAGCCCCTTGACCGTGCCCGCATCCTTGCAATCCCGTTTTCCTCTCCTCCACCCCTGTGTGCAGGGCCCACAGGTAGAGAATGAAATTAATTGTTTATGTAATGAGGTGCTATCAAATTAACAAACTAGAAAAGATAAAGGCAGTTCTGGTTTCTGCAGTTTTTAAATATCTGAAGGAATGCAATCTTTTCTTTCTTACCTGACAATGCACCTTTATAGTTAGCAAATTGTCTGTATTCCAAGTGTAAGAGGAGGGCAAATTGGAATCAAATGCTCATGTGTGAGCAACGTACTGTTAATCTGTTACCTAATGGTACAGATTTGTACTAAAAAGAGTTCTCAAACTTTGTTCGGTTCTAATGTTTTCTTTCTAATGTACCTAAATTGTCTCAGTGTTTTTCACTGGGTGTATTTTAAAATTAGGAATGCTAAGATCTCATACAAAAAGTAGCTAAATTAGTATAGATATGCTTATCCTAATTACTATATTGTAGATGTATATATCTTGACCTACCATTAGCATCATTTAAAGGGTATAACAAAACTACAATTAGTGCTGTGTAAATTAATCTAGGCTTTTAAGTTACAAAAGCATTGCTGTTTTGTTATTTTATTGATCAACTTTCATGCCTTTGAAAATACAAATTCCAGAATGACATCATGCCCAGTAGGAGTAATTAAAGCTATCTGATGAGGGAATTTAGAAGTTGAAAGGGATGATTGTAATTGATCCTGATTCAATCCTATTACAGCTTTTTATAGTTTAAGCTCTAGAGAAAGCAAACTCCTTGTCAAGGCTTTATTTTACGTATTCCTTTGTGTGTGCTGTGCTTGCTGGTCTCTACTTTCCCATTTAATTTTTTTTTTTTTTCCTGTAGTAAATAATGAGCTGCCGCCTGAAATCCGGCTTGCCAGTGGTCAGCTAATGGGTGATGACCTGTCCCTCCTTACTGCAGGAGAGCTGTCACCTTATATCAGTGACCCAGCGCTGAAGCTATTCCAGTGTGCTGTTTGCAACAAATTCACCTCTGACAGCCTGGAGGCCCTAAGTGTGCATGTGAGCAGTGAACGTTCGCTCCCTGAAGAGGAGTGGAGGGCTGTAATTGGAGACATCTACCAGTGCAAGCTCTGTAACTACAACACTCAGCTCAAAGCGAACTTCCAGCTCCACTGCAAGACTGACAAACATATGCAGAAATATCAGCTGGTGGCTCACATTAAAGAAGGGGGCAAAACTAATGAGTGGAGGCTGAAGTGTATTGCCATTGGCAACCCAGTTCACCTAAAATGTAATGCCTGTGACTACTACACCAACAGCGTGGATAAATTGCGCTTACATACTACCAATCACAGGCATGAGGCAGCCCTGAAACTGTACAAGGTAAGCCAGCGACAGCAATTTCAGTTGGCACTAGGTAGACTAGGAAATTTACCATTTCAGTGCTAATCGAACAAGACTTTGATTCATCAGCAGAATAAATGTTTACTGAAGATGCGTATAATTGAAGGAAAACTATGCAGGCTAGTCAGGGAGGAGCGTTCCCCGTGAGTTGTGTTGATTCACCTCAGGCCTGTTTAGGATGTACTTTCTGTGAACACAGGGAACATGATTTTTTTTAGAAAAAGTTCTCTCATAATAAATGACTAGAGGGGGTTACATTTCTTGTAAACTTTTCAGACTTTGTCCACTACATTTGGATCAGAAGCTTGACGGAGATTATGGAAAAAGATGTTTTTTCCATACTGTGCATAGGGAAGGAGATCACTTTCTGGCATGTGTATCTGTTTGCAACCATAATCTATCACAGCCAAGTTATTTTACATTGGTATTTTCAGTAAGAACATGCAATATGCCACATTATTACCAAGGATATTCAAAAGTAAGCACTGTCATCCTTTTGTCTGCCCTTCTTTTCCAAGTCAGTAATGATTTTTCACAAACGTGAAAGGGTGTGGTGTAGATAAATATGTTAGTAGAATGGCAACTATATTTTTATCTTTAGTGGAAAAAACTATGTGGATATAATGAATATGTGGGAGTGATGAATACCATTTATTACACAACTTGTCATGACTTTTTCCAAACCCTAATTATGGGGTAACGTATTTTCTGCAGTGTGTTTACTGAATTGGCTTGATTGTCTGGGTTCATGTACAAAATATAACACGTTCATTTCCACGATGAATAACTTTGTAACTTATTAAAAACTTCTTTTGTCTAGGGGATATAAAAATTCAGGAAATATTGCAAACCATTAGTCACTATAACAAGCTATAAATATGATTAGAAAATCCATTTTGCAAGAGTTATCTATTGATTTGTACTAGAAATCTGTGATAACTAAACTATCAGGAGTCATCTGCTGATTACAGCAACTATGCTGGTTTTCTAATCATGTTGAAAATGTGTACACACGGAACAAATACTGAAAAACCTCAGCAGGCCTCTAGCTTAAGCAAGAAATAACATTTTGTTGGTGTTCAATCATGTTCAAATGGTTGTTCTGAGCTAACACAGGATGCAAAGGCAGTAACATGGATCTTCATTTTATAATCTGATAGTTGTAACCTTGGCAGATCCGCTGTGGACAAAAATGGCAGTAACACAAGATTGGGTCTATTATATTGTTCCACAGTGCTGGCTGCTCTGCTAATTTAATCATGTATTTAATTCAAATTGCATTTTTCCGTAACTTTAGGGAGAAGGTGTTTGTCCTTGTTTATTGCATTTTTTTAAAGATCCAAAGTACTGTTCTGAAAAGTGCCAAAAGACCTGAGAGTCTAGTGACACAGTTAGCTTGCCTCAGCAGCAAAAATGACTTCAGAAGTTCCTGCTCCTTGTCATGCATGAAGAGGTTCCTTGCTCCCTCCAATTGCTCTGATTGTGGAGCCACACTCTAAGTATTTTTTTTTTTAGTTATCTAAGTTAAACATAGTTGGTCCTCATCTCTCTTTTGGAGTTTTAGCCTGGATTATTTCAATGATCTGTTTCATAATGCCGCCATTCAGAGAGATGTTGCTGTGAATTGTGTCACAGAAAGGAACGACAGAATGGGAGATGGTAAGGCAGAGAGCTTTTCTCAGGTGGCTTCAATGCCAAAGCTTTGGATACTGTTGAAAATAAAATGCCAGATGCTTATTTTTTTAATAAAGCTATAGGCATAGCTATGGAATTGCAAGGTACAAAACATCTACTCAAAAGAGCACCATCTCTTTACTCACTTAACCGGATCCCTAGAGAAATCTTCATCAAATATGTTTGGGTTTGCAGCATGTGCTACAAAACATTTGATTTAGCATACTAAGGGAGCGAGTCTCAGCTCTTAGCCCTCACCTCCAAAAATATCCTGCTGATAAACCTGCTTTTTCTGCCAGATCCTGGTTTGTTAGATTGAGCAATTCAGTAGCGCCTATCCATTGCCAACCTTTTGAGTTCAGTCTCTGACATTCCAGAAGGAATGCATAAGCTCTTAGACATCCTTTAAGTTTCATGTCCTATAAAGAAGGACAGTTGAAAGTGTACTGCTGGTAACCATAGGGTTCCAAGTGTCCCAATACAAGTATTTTTAAAGATTTTTCCCTAGGATTTCTAGTGAGAATCTTAGCTTTTTAAAAAGTTTCTGTCCCTTATGTCATCTCAGAGAAGCTTGGAAATTTGAACCCTGCTAGGCTTAACAACTCTCAGAAAGCAGATAGCATGTACATAGGCACACAATATTTTTATATAGTCTCATTTTAAGGCTAAATTGAAGGAGAGGAATGACTTATTTAAAATATCAGCTGGGATATTAGTATTATTATTTTTTAAGATTTGGGTTTGGCAGTACTACAATGTGTTCCAAATAACCGAAATGTTCTAGATGTGTACGCTTTATAACAGTATGTAATGCCTTTGTATGTCACCCAGAAAACTTTACTTCTAATTGTGGGTGTACATTCAGGCCTCAAGGTGGAAATAAATGAGGTTTTGAAAGACTGTAAAATTATCTGCTAGCAGACTTGATAGTTTTGTCAGGTCTTGGTGAAGCTGTTGACACCAAGAGAGCTGTAAACTTTTTTTCTCTTGATACATCAGATAAACTTTTAGAGCACCTAAGGAAAAAAAAGAACATTAATTTGTATGAATAATAGATATATGCCTTGGGAGCGATATCGAATATTCATGAATTGTGTTTATATTCAAGCAACTTCTCTAACTCTTTTAAAATTAAGGTGCTGTGAATATGGTTTGGCAATAAAAACTTTAACACTAAAACCATCTGAAAGCACAGAAAAAGAATCTGTGACTTTGTTCCTTTGCTTTGTCAAGTGCCTCAAAGTTTTTTCTTTAGTCATTTATATTTATTTAAATGTTATTGTTTTGTGAATTTTCTTTTTATAAATGTTGCCCTAACAGCTTGATTTCTTTTCCTGTGCTTAACTATTGATGGAATAAAAGGATGTCTTTTCATAACCGTAGCTTTTAAAGCGATCATGAACATCAGAGCTTCTCTTCTGAAGCTGTATAATTTTAGACAGTACTGAAATGTCACTTTTAGAGTTAGATTCTAAATGTGGCAAAGTGAAACCTCTAGCTGTTTTCTAAGTTATTTAAAAAAAGAAATGGCCTGATTGCTCCTTACAGAAGTGCGGCATTCAAATGGTGTCGGTAATGCGGCTGCTAAGAACCAGAACAAAGATGGCCTTACCCTGAGTGAACTCAGCTTGGCCTAAATGAATTTCCCAACGACTTACATCAGGAATTGTGGAGCTGGATATTAGCAAATTAAACCATAGGAAGACTTGCAAGTCCTTTGCAGCATCCATCAAGAAGCTTTCAATGACTCCACAAGTAAACAGAGAAAGCCTCTATAGCAACAGAGTGCCTTTGCAGTCTGCAGGAGGAAGCATTCAACTTCTGCAGATTCGGGAAGCTGAGGCAGGACAGTGATCTCTCTCTGTGGATATAAAGTCCTTATAGCTGGAACTGCTCTTAAGGAAGCCATTTTGTAGTTTAGTCAAATAGCTTTTGGTTCAGGGAACCCCATGTATTATGTCCTGTGCTCATAAAGTAGTTTCCAAATACTTTAGATGAATAAATAAATACAGGGTAGGCTTTTTGCAAAGTGAACTGGAGTGGCTGAAAAGAAGTTTTAGTTAACCAGGTAACTAAATGACACGATCGATTTCTAACCACAAATAAATATCTGAAGTTAGTTTCTGTCATATATGCAACTATTCAGGAGCTTGGGGAAAGTGACAGGCAGCAGTTAGCACACTGAAACTCAGCTGTGTGAAAACTACCTTGGTTTTCCCTTTATTGGCAGAATATTGATCCATAACACTATTAATGCTATGATTGTCAGTTCAATTGGATAGATCACTGTACCTCTCGTGTTCTCAAATGACAAATATATTACCCAAAAGGAATGACCTGATTTCAGTTTAAGGAGGTTAAAGGTTAAAGGTTAGTTCAAAAGCATCATCTGCCTAGCTGCTTAACTTTAAACTGATCAATTTAATGAAAATCTGTTTTGCAGATGGTGTTTTAATGTCTTTGGCAGGATTTAGGCAACTTTAACATTAGACGCATACTAGTAAAAATTATTTCTTTATTTGACCAGAACAACACCTTTTCTTTTATGTTTTAAGGTAAAAGGCATGTGGGATATGGTATTTTGGCAAAGGACCCAGAAGCAGAAGTGTTGATGATCTTTCCATATGGCCTCCAAAACAGAATACCCTTAAGTCTATTGCTAACGATGACTGTAGAAACAAACAAAGCTGTATTCATTTTTTACCATAATGTTTTACTTTGAACCCATAAAAAAGACTTTTAGTCAGAACTGTCCGTGAAAAAGGCTTGTCTTCTTTGCCTAGGGTGGAATGCAACATTAACATTTTTAACCTGGCAGAGCATGCTGATGGTTTCTCTCAGACCTTGTGTTTGTAGATCAACAGTATTCTTTTTCCTACCCACAAATCGGGTAGTAATTGTGTTACTTAGCTGTAGATACCATAAATAATAAGGCAAATTAGTCAATCCAAATGGTAAATTTTATCTGATGGAGGTTATGTGAATAAACAAAGAATCAGATCCTCAGGAGTGTAAATCAGAGCTTTGTGTTTATGTGTATTGAGAATCTGGCCCTCACAGTTTTTATCAAGATAATTAAGTTTCAGCACAAGCACGTCTTTCTGTTTTCAGATGTATGCAATTCAATAGGAATTTCTTGGGCTGCTAATGCAATACTATTATACATTAGCTTTGTAATTAGCTAGGACTCTATCCCTTTGCTGAAATACGTTGTAATATTACACACACGAGCATAGTTTGCATTTAGCAGTCATGAAAGTGGTGCCCTTTGTTTCACATTGACCTTCAAACTTATTTAAAAAGGA